ATTGGAAGACACCAAAATCAAATGAAGGCCGAGGATAATATGTACAGTCTTCTCGCTGTAACGATTACGACAGATACAGGCATCCTCGCGCCCAAGGTATAAAAGGAGGAAACCAAGAAGCCGGTCTCTTGATTACAGCTACAGACCGACTGGAAGCAGCCATTCCAACAAGGCGAGACCAAACCACTGCGGGAATACCCAGTACGGTCCTGCGTACCATGCGTCAAGAAGGCCTGAGAGGGCAGAAAAAGAACCAAAGATGGGCAGTTCCAGAGGCCAGAGGGAGGGTGAAGGTGCTGCAGTTATTAATACTCCATGAATACTTTGACTCTGGTCTGAGAAGAATGTTATCGAAAACGCCATGGGGTAATTAAAGTCCCTTCAAGTTTAAAAGTAAGCATTTTAGGACAAATAAAAGGAAATTCAACTTTGTACTTGTAGAAACTAATCCCGAAGAATGAATAGGTTTATACTGATGGATGAACAATAGGCCCATAACAAATTTCTGAACACGAAATGTCTGAATATTAAGGAAGATAGCATAGTCTCTCACGGTGCTACGGTTGGTCTGTCTGAACCTGAATGGGGGGAAGATATGGTCCAATATTAACTTTTTCTTGGTCGTCTCTGAAGGAAGGTTGTCCCTCTTTTGCATTACTGGCAGATCTTGCCTCGGTTTAGTCTGGTGACATTGTTTCTGCTAAGCTGTTTGCTCTATTGGCGCCGTAAGTTTATTTACTTGTACACCACTGCCGCTTACATCCTCCTTAAGCTACTCTTCAAGTGTGATACTCGACAGCCAGCTTGCTGGGTCCTCTCCTCCCGTCCTTCAGACCAAATTCAGGGAACTTTTATGGAGCCCTTCAGTGAGGGCGAAACATCATCCTGGTTAATTGGGGAGAAAAGTAGATACAATCCATTTTCTTTCAATAAATGTCTACTGAGCACAATCCAGTGAATCATTACAGTATAGCCTCATTGTTTTGAAGCATATTGATAATATTTTATACCACTCATTTTGATGTAATGGTAAAAAAACAGTATGCTGTTAAAGAGGAGTAATTTTGTGGTTATCTGTCATTTTAAAAAATAATCAGTACTTCTGTTGTCATCCCATTAATACAAATGAGAAAAAGAATGTTTCATTTGTAATAAACTGAATTATTGTGCAGTGACTGTGAAATACTAGTTATATTAAGTGGTTAACTCTGTCTCCTTGTGCACACTGGGAAAATAATCGCCCAGACAAGCATTTCACTCTGCTTTGAATATAAAGGAGAGACTCTGGATGCTAAAATTAAAATTATTTTGAGGCAGACAGAGCCAGTATCCCAACTGACTTAGTATGTTCTGGAATTGAGCAAATGTTCACCAAATTTACTTCTTAGTAATTTACATGTACATTTTATAGGGGACATATTCTGTGACAGTAAATAGCATTTTTAGTATTGCAAATTAAAAAAGAGAGAAATAGTAAGGGACCAGAAACAAAGTAATAAATCTTATGGGGCATTTCCCCCCAGCTTCCTTCCTCTGGCAGTGGAATAAATACCAAATCTGGCGGTTGACTTCCAGGTCAGTATTCCTCAAACCTTAAATCACCTGAGGATCTTATAAAAATTCTGCTGCTGATTCAATAGGTCTGGGATGGAGCCTGAGGTTCTGCAGGTCTAACAAATGGTGCTGGTCCAGGGCCCACTCTGAGTAACAGGCCCCAGAACAGGCCCTCACAACACTGCCACTGGGGAAACTCACCTGGGGAGCTAGAAAGACTAACGGGGTCATCCCCAGATGAATTCAACCAGTCTTTGGGAAACTAGGACCCAGGAAAAATTGTTTGTTCTTTAACTTCTCAGGTATAGGCAGCCTTCATATAACAAATTCCATGTTTAAGTCTGTCTTAAGTCAAATCTGACTTCAGTGGAAACCGGTATTGTTTTTTCTAACATCAGTTGATCAAACGTGTATCACAGATAGTATTTCAAACCCACCATGGAGAGCAGAAAACACCTGCCCCCATAAAGACTACAGCCTAGAAAAAGATAACACCCCCCCC